GAGCTGAGTAAAGTTTGACTCATCTGACTGTTTTGTTTCGCTTAATGCGCCTTATAATCCAAAAAATACGGTAAGTCTTAGAGTAAGTTGAGGTAAACCAAACAATAAATAGTTTATTCTGACAGCCTCCGTTTTTCATCGTTTGAATATTTATTATTGCTCATTAATAAGACCAAAGTATTTGTTATCAAAATAATTGATGGAATAATCAAACTTATTTACTCAAATAATCAATAGCTGCAGCCCTAACATGGATGGCTTCGAGCTGTATGCTGGGAGTGAATGAGGCTCTACAGAAACGACATGAGAATTTGTATCGACTGGAGTAAATGCTGAGTTTTTCACCATCGTTGTTTTAAGGAGTAAACATATTTGCAGAGGTGGGAAGTACTTAGTTACTATACTTAAGTAGAATTCTCAGGTATCTGTACTTTACTTGAGTAAATGGTCTGTCAGTCACAAGGGCCTATCAAACACAAAGAGATGAAAGACACAAGACAATGAAATGTATGCATAATGTGTAGCACCATAGTCAGGTGTTAAAGTAGGCTGCTTGTGTTTTGGTTCAACACCAGAATGAGTGCAGGTGTCTATAAGCTGTGCTCGTGTTACTTTAGCATGCAGCCCTGCAGAAGAGCAGCGAGCATAAAGAGTAATGTGTGTTTTTATGTCACATAATTTCAGATGCAACTTTTCCATCAGCTCAACAAATGTCAGAAAACAAACTGTTAATGAGACAGCCAGGTTAACCTGTGACACATCTGGATTCATTCTGACCTGACCTCATGTTCACACATCAGATACGACCTCTGTGCTCATCCCTTACAAATACACTCGAGTACAGGTGTCTCACAGGTGACTCTGCTTTACTGACAAACATCCACTCTGAGCGCAGGTAACTTAAGTGTACTGTGTAGATGTTGAGGTGTCCATCGTCAAATCACAGGAGTGAGTGGGAAGTATAATAACAGCAGAACATTTGTCGAAATATAGAATATAAATCAACTTTGTCATTCTTTAAACTTTGTAGTGTCACGAGGTAAACCCACGTGCTCTTCTTTATGTCCGAAACAAGCTGTCAGCAGACTGCAGTGCTGTGTTAGGTCTTAATTAGACCTCATGAGTATTCAATTACACAGCCAGCTGTCACATGATTGCTCAGTAAAAACTAGTTACACGTCGGAAAGCAGGATTAAACCCTTTGCGCTGTTCCGGTTTATTTGTTAGTGCGCAGTAACATCGGTGCTCTCTGGGTCAGTCACCTCTAACTGCTTCACTGACTTCACCTGTCCTAACTTAGCATCGTACATTCAAAGTTTCAGCGTGAAATCCTGCGCAAAGCAAAATGACGACGTGAATATTCCTCAGTAACAAAATCAAACCGTGTTATTGGGTCACGGTAACGGGAGAGCACGACTACTGCGGACTTTCTGCCCGTACACGCGTTTACTTACCGAGCGTCGTACCCGGATTTCTGGGCGACATGTTTAGCGACAGAGAGCGCTGTCGTTTGTGAACTTCATCATCAGTCGCAGCCAAAATACGTGTGAAGTGCGCTCAAAATGCCCGGATGTGTTCTTCTCCGCTCCGTCTTCTCTTCGTAGGAAAGTCAAACGAGGGTAGAAGTTTGTGTGACAAAAGAAACGGAAGATATTTCAGGGCGCAGCGACCTGTGTAAAATAAATATTTTACAGTCCAGGCCTTGTTAGAAATGCGGTATTAATCTTTCTCTTTTTATTGCATCCGACATGAGGATTCACCTGCACGTCTACACAAATAAAAGTCACACTTTCAAAATAAAAGCAGCACTGGCATGAACTAGTTTTCATTTCCTGTTTGCCTGACCCTCCACCAGATGTCAGTGTAGCGCAGGCTTTCAATGACGTTTCAATTGCAGAATGGATACACAAAATAAATCCTAATTTTGTCACACATATTCAAACCAACTTGAATTT